AACCCTAACCCTAACCCTAACCCTAACCCTAACCCTAACCCTAACCCTAACCCTAACCCTAACCCTAACCCTAACCCTAACCCTAACCCTAACCGTGGAAGATGAGCCAAAACATACTCTGCTAATCTATCGCAATCGATTTTTCTCACACCTGGCGCAAGTACGATTGCTGCGCACCCTGCTCTTCCATCAGAATGTGGAACCAGAACCCCATATACGTTCGCCTCTTGTATTTGATCAAAACCTCCAAGTACTTCACCAACTTGATTTGTTGAAACATTTTCACTACGCCAGCGAAATGTGTCGCCAAGACGGTCAACAAAGAAAAGACGACCTTCAGCATCTTGCCGCATAAGATCACCAGTGCGAAACCATATATCCCCTTTCGTGAAGACGTCTCTCAACTTACGCTTGCTTCCTGCAGCTTTATCTTTATAGTACTTTGAGAATACGAGAGCCTCCGAGTCGGGATCAATTTTGTGAATGCACTCGCCAGGCTCTCCCGGCTTACATTCTATGGCAAAGCCATTCGTGCCCCTCAAAATGTCTTCGCTATCAACATCAATGAGGACTCTCTTCTCTCTAGCCCCATTCCAAAAGTGCCATAGTGGGCCGCGAACACTGACTGCTGTTGCCCCAAAGGAACCGCGATTCTTGTTCCATGTTGTTCCATATCCATCAGTTGCTCCATATATTTCATTGATAGTTTCAATGCCAAATCTTTGTCGAAAAGGCTCCCATACATCTGGCCGAATACCATTGCCCCATGCCATATGGACGTTGTGCTGCTTGTCCAATAAAGATGGTGGTGCATTCAGTAAATATCGTGCCAGCTCTCCGACATACTGAATGATTTGAGCTTGGGAAGAGCGAACTTCTGGCCAGAATGTTTTGTGTGAGAACTTACGTCCAAGTACAATAGTTGCGCCAGCATAAACACAGGGGATTATACAGAGGCTATGCCCAGATACATGGTAAATAGGCAAACAGGTGTACATTCTTACACCAGGTTTGAGGCTCAAGTGTTTGCTAATCTTTTCAGCTGCTAGCAGCTCTTTTCCATAGCTCTGCTTAACGCCTTTTGGCAGCCCTGTTGTTCCAGAGGTGTAAATCAATCGAAGTGTTGCGCTTGGGTTGATGCCTTTTCTTCTAGTGAGTGGAATCGGTTTCGTGTTGGAAAGGTTGGAGATGAGTAATTCATTAAAGAAGACCGTTTGTACTCCTGCTTCCCGCATCTCTCCATCATACGGCTCGACAAGTGATCTAACTTCACTATCGGCCAAAAGATATCGGGCCTCGCAAAGCTTGACCGAATGAACCAGGGGATTAGCGGTTAGATTGTTATTGATATATGCAGCGCTGGCCCCAATTGCACTGATTGCAATGAGTATCATAATATACTCTGGGCTGTTTGGTCCGTCCAGGGCAATCAATTCACCCCGTTGAATTTGGAGATCGTTCATTAGCCAGTTCCCGACTCGCTGAACGCAATTGTAGAATTCCTCATATGTCCATGTCTTTCGGTCGAAAATGAGACAGATGTTCCCAGAATTCTTCCCCGTTGCGTGCTCCTCAAAATAATCATACACAAGACCTTTTCCCAGACTAAACTTTTCTGACACAAACCGAGCAGATCTTTTTTCCTCAAGTTTGACTGATCCATTTGCTAGATCATTGCGAATCAGAAATTTAGCGTCAAGATACGCTGCTGTAGCCAAGCTGCCTATTGCAGCTAGAATGAATTTCGAGGTTTGATCTAAGTCTCAAGTCACTTCCATATTTTTCTACCTTTATAATTAAGTCATTTATCTACCTTTCATATTTTCAAGATGCTTAAAATAGTGATATCAGGATAATATAAGTATAGTAAAGTTTTTCAGAAGTTAGATTTATATCGAGAATTGTCATATTTAACCGAGATAATGCTTATAAGCGAAGTGCGGGGTATGTTTTCCGGTCATAGTACAATCGCGCCAGTTTAATATAATTTGGGATATTTTTCTAGATCTTCCATGATTGTGTTACTTGAAGTTCCAATATTGTTATCTACTTCTGGCAAAACAATAAAAATCGGGGTTTTGGTAAGAGACCTTTTATCAGAGCCGGGTAAGACCAGGTGTAGTGCCAGGGCGACTTCGAGCCTGGCCCTGGTGTGAGGTCTCTTACAGCTTTGGCTTTCTTAACTAAATTATCTTTAACTTGTAAGGAATAAGCATTGATATAACTTAGCAAACTATTATTTATATAGTCTTTAGAGAAAAACTTCTATAAGTCTTTATGAACTGTAGACTGAGCTAGTGATATAGGATATCCTGTGTAAGGTGGATGAGTGGCAGCATTAGATTAAGCGGGAATGTGTGGGCCAAATAAGAGACGATACTGGCTTATAAAAAGGTCAGCCTGAAACCCTCTATATCAACCAGGAGAAAATTAATATCTATTACAGAATCTTACATCATAGTTTTTTAGATTTGGAACCGCGGCATTGAAAACCAAAGTTTGAAAAATTAGCGTCAAATAAACTTTTTAAGAACCATAATTTAATAATGTATATTGCAACTATCACTGTATATCTTAAGCTATATAAATTAATTGACTTTTGATATAGGGAGTGGGGTTGGTTCTGCACGTTTTCAGCAGAACAAGTCGACTGCCCTGATTATACTTAACAACTTAAATTTGTATAATAATAACTAGGTAAGTATTACGAGACCCAATTTAAGAAATTTTAGATTTGGTTAATGTTCCAATCGTATACAGCTAATCTTCCAGCTGATTTTTTTAGCCTGGAACATGATGAAGTAGCCGACCATAGAAAATTCAAATTTGATTATTTTTAAGTATATATACTACATTCAGTTATAACTAGGCCTGTATAAATCCTTGAAAGATAGAAGAAAGTATGGAGAAAAGACTGGTCGAAAATCCTGCTCATATTAAGAGCTACTATCTTGCAATAGTAGCAATTGTGTTTATCTGTGTTTCCTGGCCTGCAGTACTACTGCGTCTCTATGTGCGGCATTTCCTTGTTAAGTCTCTTGGAAAAGATGATTTAACAGCATTGATTGGCCAGGTATGACCATATCATATTCATATACTGCTCGTTTGTTAATCAATTCCTAGATCTGTTTTACAGGCTTTTGCGTGGTAGCTATTGTGGGTAATCAATTGCGCGCTCCACAAGAGCAAGAAAATATTGATAACACAAAAAAAATTATCAGAGTAAGGATTTAGGACTACATGATAAGAACATCTGCTTACTTAGAGTTAGGTAGGAATGTCATCTGGGTTGTTATACTGCTGGGCAAACATCTTTATTAAGGTCTCCCTTGGCCTATCATTTTTACGCGTCCTTTCAACAATCTCCCAGAGAGGGGTAGCCTGGGGACTTATTTCTGCTTCTATTATAGCGAATATCACTCTTTTCTTCTTTTTGCTATTCTCCTGCGGCAACCCAGCACAATTTGCGGACAAGGTAATCAAGGGAAAATGCGAGATTGATACAATACAATTTAAAGCATTAATGTACTTCAACTCTAGCATCAATATTTTGGTAGATATTGGGTTACTCGCGCTAGCAGTATCTACAATTATGAGATCTAGAATGGGGAAGAAGGCTAAAACATCTGTAATTTTGATATTCACAATTGCTTGCTCGTAAGTCATTCACTTCTAAGATCTACAAATATTAATAATGAACAGTGGCACTATTTGCTCAATTATTCGGCTTTATTTTTTGACTACATTTTTCAGCCAACATCTAGGTAAGTTCTTACGGTAGAGGTTGTTTAGAAATCAATTTAACCCAAGATAAGAAAATGATTCAATTGGGGGAATACTTTCTATCATAGAAGGAGGGGTATTTATCATCGCTGGATGCTTAGCTACTATGCGTATACTGCTACATATCAACTTATTTTCAACATTATCAAGATATTTATCAAGTAATAGCAGATCATTGGTTGCAGAACACCCCGAAAATGTTGGCAATAAAAAGCAAAGCTGTGAGGGCCAATGAAATGAGCTACAAGATAGTAGATAGAATATGCTCTAGCCCAAACTTCTCCATTAAAAGAGCCTAATAGAAAACAGTGTCAGAGATCTTAATATTTGTCAAAGACGCTCTTCCATATAGTACCTTTTGCCTCGAAGCATTCATCAATTTCAAGCCCCCAATACTTGCTCGGCAGCCTCTTCAGATGTAATGACCGGAATAATCTCGAATTCGACTAAATCAGACCAATTGGAAATCCACTCCTGTAGTTTCTTTTGATCAATAGTCTCCATTACTTGATAGCAAGTTTTCAAATCACTAGTCGTCCAGCTCGATATGTATGTTAATCCCGTGGGTGCAAGACGCCCTTTCTCACGAAAGCGAGCATAGATTGGATAAGGGTTTCCGTCCCGAAAATGTTCGATTATCATAAACAACATGTTGAAACGAGAAGCTACTGAAGAGCGATCGCAGGCAAGATACCTAATCAATTGGGTAAGATAATTTGAGTTGGATCCTTATCGATAAGCTGCATGCGCTTAGGCCAGGGTCAAGACAATGTTTTTTTTTTTTTTTTTTTTTCCTTTAAGAATTCTCAACAATCAAACCGAAAAGAGCTACGCGATCAGAACACTTTCAAGTCTTGCAACAAGCATTCAATCGCGGAATACTGACATGAGCAAGCGCAAATATGAAGATGCGACTGCTGGAGTCGAGATTCCTCCTGATCTGCCGGTATTGAAGAAGGCAAAAGTCAAAGATGTCAACAAAGTCAAGAAGAGCAAGGAAGAACGCCGTGCTCTAAAGAAACAGCAAGAGACAGGGCAGGCCTCGAACAGCGAACAAAATAAAGATAACGATAATATGCAAGAGGAAAGGGCACAGAAAAAGAGAAAGAGAAGGGCAGATAAGTCGTCAAAGACTAGGGCAAAGAAAGATGTTGCGAAGTCGACGTCGGAGGTTACAGAAGCTGAGGAAGTGCTGAACAAAGCAGCCAAAAAGGCTGCAAAGAAAGTTGCAAAGGCAAAAAAAAATTCAAGCCTCAGATTGGACGATTCAACAGAATCTGCAACACCTGTTGACAGTGTGTCGGCCGTGAGTTCGATAGCGTTGTCGAAAGACGCCTCATCTGCGACTAGCCCCGAGCCTGTTACACCTCAAGAGATTGTCCGAACAGATGAGGCAGTACCTTCTCATAGCAGTTCCTTCTTCAAAAAGAACCAAGTCACTATTGATGAGCATCCGTCCATCAAGTCTGCACCACTCTCGCCAATCACTGAATTCTCTCAGCTGCCGTTCACAGACGATTCTGAACGCGCACCCTTCGCTAATTTTAAAGCACCTACACCCATTCAGGCTGCATCATGGCCGTATCTACTTGCTGGTCGCGACGTCATTGGGGTCGCAGAGACTGGATCTGGCAAAACGTGGGCATTTGGCGTCCCATGCGTACGATACATTGTAGCCCTGCCCAATGACATGAGGATCGGGGTTAAAGCAGTTATCGTTTCTCCAACGCGTGAGCTGGCACTACAGATCCAGGAGCAGATTTCAGTGCTCGCGGGGCCAGCTAATTTGCGTTCAGTCTGTGTGTACGGTGGAGTAGATAAAGCAGAGCAGCGAGCCGCTCTGAAGAAAGCCAACATTGTTGTGGCGACACCAGGACGTCTCAATGATTTGATCGAAGAGGGTTCTGCAGACCTGAGTGGAGCCCAGTATGTTGTGCTTGACGAAGCTGACCGCATGCTAGACAAGGGCTTCGAGGACGCTGTTCGTCAAATCATATCATCCACCTCCATTAAACGACAAACTCTCATGTTTACAGCCACGTGGCCCCCTTCAGTTCGTGATCTTGCTTCTACCTTCATGAAAACGCCAGTCAAGATCATCATCGGTGATAATCCTACCGGCGAGCTCAGGGCAAACAACCGCATTAAGCAGCTTGTCGAAGTCATTGCACCAGAAGCAAAAAACGGTCGCCTTATTCAACTTCTACAACAACATCTGAGTGGCTCCAAAAAGAATGATCGTATCCTGGTGTTTTGTCTTTACAAAAAAGAAGCTCAACGTGTGCACCAGTTTCTACAGAACAAAGGCTTCAAGGTAGCTGGAATTCATGGTGACATGAGCCAGACACAGCGTATTCAAAGCCTGGAGGAATTCAAGAAAGGACGCTCTAATCTTCTTGTCGCTACTGATGTCGCCGCCAGAGGTTTAGATATTCCTGCTGTCAAAGTAGTCATTAACGTCACATTTCCCCTTACTGCTGAAGACTATGTTCATCGTATTGGGCGTACTGGTAGAGCAGGTCAAGCCGGCCTTGCAATCACATTGTTCACAGAACATGATAAGGCGAATTCTGGAGCGTATGTTGCATTGAGATTCTGATACAAAGTTTTTACTTACCAGAGATGTAGTCTTATCAATATCCTCCGAGCTGCTAACCAAGCGGTACCAGATGCTCTGCTGAAGTTTGGTACTACTGTGAAGAAGAAGGAGCACGCAGTGTATGGAGCCTTTTATCGAGATGTTGACATGACGAAGAAAGCCACCAAAATCACGTTTGATTAAACGCGGGTAAGTTAATTATGTGTGATCTACATTATTTTCTCCTTGTTTCCTTGATTAACTGTCTCGGCTAGTTGACAACCATAAGATAAGAACGGTCTACACTTGAGCTACCAAATTTTAGAACCATGATATACCTTTCTTCTGTGAAATACGCTGAGTCTCTCCTAAATATGACAACGTGCAATATTCGTTTCATTTTGCTCGTTCGCGACAGCATATTATAGATGTTAAGACCTCTCTTGAAGTTTTCAGCTGGATATATCTCCACGAAGCAACTACAAGCCACTTCAAGCCACTTTTCAATTGCATTTTGCGACGCCTACGATGTATTGTACATGTGAAAATTCTTCTTCTGTATATATTTTTCTTCCTATAAAATATTTTGTGATCTCGAGGCAAATATGCCGGTCCGATTATCTGCATCTAAAACTTTCTGTTGAGATAGACGGGTGATGCCGAATGACCTAAACTCGAAGAACCTGGAAAGCAACCTAGCGGCTGTAGATTCCGCATAGACTTTCTAAGGCCAGCATGCTTGATTATAGCTTTGTGATTGGGCACACAACCGGTTTTCAAAACCAAAAGCGGCAACTCCTAAGATTCGCGTTGTCGATTGCATGGTCTACGGTCTCACAAAATTCTTGTCCCTCAAGATCCACGAGTAGCATCCTACATAGTAAACATGCCCTGATTTAGACCCAAGACCCAGTTCCAATTTTGGAAGGTGTTTTTGTACAAGTAGCAAAGAAACTGATAACGCAAACCCTTTCGCATCCACTAAATATCTGAGGAAGGTAACCGAGATTCTTCTTGAAAATGCGCCAGCTGGCAGTCTGCTCTCTCCCTAGGTTAACTAGCACTTTGATGCTAATATCTTCCTAACATTGACAAGATGAACCTGGCATACAAAGCTTTCATAGTATTATACCTTTTGTCTTCGTCTACTGCAACACCTGTAGCAGCGCCGATACCTGAGCCATCGCCAGCAAGTACTTTGTTTGCCTATGAACTCAAGATTTTGCTAACGAGAACATATTTCCAGCCAGGAATCCCGTCTTCTTCGACAGCCAAAACACAGCTTGGGTCTCTCGTTGTAGCCGTTCCAGGTTCCATGGATGGGTACAGTAGAGACGAGTTTAAGCACTGGATTACTATATCTGGCAATTGTGACACGCGCGAGACCGTCCTCAAACGCGATGGATCGGATGTTGTTCAGAGTTCATCATGCGCCGCAACATCCGGAACGTGGATGAGTCCGTATGATGGAGCAACTTGGACAGCCGCTAGCGACGTAGATATCGATCATATGGTTCCTCTAGCTAATGCTTGGGTAGTTCGTTCACCCAATATTTCATCATTTGTTCGAGGCTGACATATATTCAACTCAGTCGGGAGCGTCCTCATGGACAGCAGCACTCCGACAGAATTTTGCTAACGATCTGAATGCCCCTCAATTATGGGCAGTGACGGACAACATCAACTCACAAAAGGGTGACAAAAGTCCTGATCAGTGGAAACCACCTCTAACAAGCTTCTACTGCATATATGCAAGCTCTTGGGTTGCCGTCAAGTATAAATACGGCTTAACGATTACGTCTGCGGAAAAATCGGCCCTTCTGAGTATGCTGAGCTCTTGTTAAAGCAGTTCATAAACCTTTGTAAGAGAGATCATGCTGGGTTTAGAGACAAAGTCAATATGCGCCAAGAACTGTTCCGTGAACATTGTGCCACGTGATAATCGGTCATTAATTAAGCGTTCGATGAGGAGCTCAATGGAACTTTTCTGCCACAAGAAACAAGTCCAATTTAATTATCGTTCTTGTTTGCCGAGATACTACTGAAAACTGACACAATAGCGTAGAACCTATAGGCTAAGAAGATGGGCCCGTAACCGAGAATGGCAAATCCCATCCGGCAAAGTGCATACTGAGCTTCACGAGGGCTCTGTTCTGAGTGCAAGTTCATTACAGTAATTACAGAAGGGTCATCGGCACGAGTGTGTAAGTAGGGCATACGCGAGAGTTTTCGACACGGTTGATCGAAAGCAAACCGAGCAAGATCGGCCTTGCTGAACAGTAAACAATTGTAGCCGTGGAAGCGATTCACGTGCTTCCTTCTACCTTCCATGCCCCATCACAACTAGGAAGCTGTGTTATCATCAAACCAAAGAGATACGGGCTGCCACATACTCGGCTCTTCTCGGCTCTGGTGGCCTTGAAAACTAGGCAGAAGAAGGGCATGGACGATGGTCTGACGAGCTTATGCTGAATCGATCATTTCCCTTGTTAAGTCCCCGAACAGCCCGCGCCCCACCTAATAACTATGCGCCGAGGGGAGTTCCAGGGACTACCGCGAAGCGACTGTTTACCGAGCATTATGTGATTCATTGGGGAGAATATAGAGCAATGGACTCTGATGTAGCAATGCTCTGCTAAGCTCTTCTCACTTTCTTATGCTATTCACAAAAGCAAGAATGCCACGACATTCGCCATTCGGTAGTCCCCTGCCTTGGGCAGAACCTAGCTGGGTACGCGTGAACTTGCAGCACATGTTTCTTCGCAGGTCTGACTTTCTCTTAGTATACAGGCCGTCCATCACCGTACTACAACGAGAGCCACGTCAAGCTTCGAAATTACGTCAGAAAATGGACAGAAGACGTAAGCACATGACATCGTATTTTCGAGAAGTCGTTTTAACAAATTTCAGAACTTCGTTGGCCACAGCGAGGAATGGGAGAAGGCTGGGAAAATCCCGGATGAGGTCTACCACAAATGTGCTCGTGACGGCCTCCTTGTACCAATTGCAGGTGGGAAGGCCATTCCAAAAGAGTGGGAGAAGTACGGTATCATTGCTGGAATCAAGGCTGAGGAATGGAATGGATTTCATGATCTGATCCTATGGGATGAACTCATGCGTGGTGGGGCCATTGCCAGCATCTTCATAGGTCTTGTTGTTGGCGCTCCACCCATACGACATTATGGTTCTCAGTGGCTTAAAGACAAGTAAGAGATCCGGTCCTCTTCTCGTACCACAAGGCTGACAAGTATCACCAAGGATCTTGCCCGAAATCCTCAGCGGTGAGAAACGCATTTGTTTGGCAGTGACGGAGCCGGATGCTGGCTCTGATGTGCGCAACCTTGTAACGACTGCACAGAAGACAAAGGATGGCAAGCACTATATTGTTAATGGAGAGAAGAAGATGAGTATACTCGCCACGTCTGAAACATCAATATACTGACAAATCCTACTGGATTACAAACGGTATGTACAGTGACTATTTTATGACGGCTGTGCGTACGGGAGGCGAAGGTGCTGCAGGCATCTCCATGCTTCTAATTCCACGATCCGAAGGCCTAAGGACTCGCAAGATCGAAATTGGTGGAGGCTCTTTGGGTGCGACCACCTTCGTAACATTCGAAGACGTCAAAGTGCCCGTCGAATATCTCATCGGGGAGGAGGGCAAAGGCTTTCAGTACACAATGACCAATTTCAATCATGAGAGATTATGGATTGCCTTCCAAGCTCTACGCGGCTGCCGTATCGCTATTCACGATGCAATGGTCTGGGCGCAAAAGCGTGAGGCTTTTGGCAAGAAGTTGATTGAACAGCCCGTTGTTCGCTACAAATTCGGCAACATGGGTAGACAGGTCGAGGCATTGCAAGCATGGACGGAACAAGTCGTGTACGAGCTTGAGAACTTGAGCGACAAGGATGGCTCAAAATACCTCGGAGGTGTGACCGCCTTGCTAAAAGTAGAGAGTGGCATCGTTGCTCAGTATGTTGCAAACGAATGTGTGAAGATCATGGGGTGAGTGCGCCCAGCTTTGTTCTGAAGTTGAAATTGCTAACCAGTCTTAGTGGCCTTGGTCTTACGAAGACTGGTCAAGGAGCGCGTATTGAAGGCTTCTCACGCAGCGTAAAGGGCTTCATCGTGCCTGGTAAGATCACATCGTACATCTTGCTCGAACTGAACTAACTCCTCCCAGGCGGGTCCGAGGATGTCCTTATCGATCTTGGCGTCCGAGAAGCTCTCAAACTCAGCTATTTAGCGAGCAAATCCGCGAAGTTGTGAAACGTCTTCTGCTCTCCAAGACTCCGGTCATCCTGTCTACGTTAAAAGAATGGAGCATATTTTGAAACTTTCCACTGTCTTTGGGGATCGTTGTATTTGTATAAACTAAGAAAACGTGCTGTCAGAGTCGATCTTAACGTCCCTACCGAAAGACGTAAACTGGCTTTCAAGCCCTCAGTTTGCCTTTCATAGCGGAAGTTCCCAATTGAAAGCTGGAAAACAATTCTGAAATGCCCTTTTTCGACATTGGATAATTTGATTTGTGGACCCGCATGCGCTTTTGTATTGTGGCTAATCGCACCAGATGGCCTTGCATAGTCGTGGGTTGCAAATTGCCATAGATGAGCTCTGAGCACTGGTTGGTGAGGTCGGAGAAACGTTAGATACGGCTATTAGCACTGTGCAGAAGAGTCACAGGGAAACTCGGCGAATCAAACAAGCTGAAAACAGATTGTTGCGTATTATAGGGGTCATTTTTGTGCTGCTTATCGTCTACCGTCGCCGGCCAGCGTTTACCCGTTGTCGTAGGACAGATCTCCCGTAGTCTTCAAGCTCGAAGATGGTAGGTCCGGCGAGTGCGTCCAGGAGCTCTGTTGGCCCGGAATGCAGCAAGAAAGGACGCAGAAAGGTTCGGATAGCTATGGTTGCCAATGCATCTACGTATCTACGGACAGACGTGCTGCGAACACAAGCCAGCTCAGGCTGGACGGCTCAGCTCTTCGGCGGCAACGCGAGACTGTGGCGCTTTGCTTGGCGTGCCCGCGGTATCACACTGCGACAAACCGGCCACAGATCACGCCGAACAACCAACCGACCGGCCAACGCGATGCAGCAGCCCGTCTCCTGAACCTGCGCGTCTGGACTTCTCACGTGTGGTTGATCAAGAAGAGACAGACGGGCCTAAACTTCATATGAGCCTCTCTTGAGGACGTCTTTTCCTCCCTTGAATGCTCGTTTGATTCGCCCTTCGAGAGCAGCACATCCGGCGATAGCTTCTTGTTGACCCACCCAATCCTCCCTCTCCATTGATGCATAGCACGCACTGCATCGATAGAGTCTAGTGAGCAGACAGACGTCTTCTCTCGCCATGCCCTGGGCCGTAACTTGAAATTACGGTCATGGAGTCTGAATCTGCTGTTGACACTCAATCAACCCCCTCGACTCGGCCTGCCTCGCCTGCGACTGTCCTGACGCCGACGCCGACACCTACGTCTTTAACGCCGGATCAAGCTCCAAAGCGAGCGACGAACGAGGCGGTAGCCACTGTGAGCCGCGTACACTCACTGCCTTCCAAATTAGTCGGAAGTCCCAATGCCTTCCTAACTGCTGGCGGAGGTGCCGCAGCACCTGATGCTGTCGAAACCCTATTCGTGCACCCAGAGGCAAAGGTTGTCTCCTTCAACATATTGGGCTCCTCCGTCACACGGACTGGAACTAATGCCGACGGAGGGAGGCTAGCCGATAGAAAGGATCCAGGCACGCTCGCATGGGTGTCGCCATCCGAGAGAACGCTAGCCGCAGGACAGTTGAGGATATACCGCGTACCAAGCTCCGGTGTGTCTTTCCTTAGCTCTGGTCCTTTGCTTCATCCTATCTTGAAGAGATCGCAATGCTGGCTTGTGGACGAGCAGTCAAAATTCGTACTTCGTGTTCGAGAAGGGCAGTTCTACCGCATCGAGCTTCCCTTCGCCTCAGAGATGGACAAGGTCTTTATAGAGGAATTCAAGAGAGTTTTAAGCACCGTGCTTCAGTATGAGAAGACCCCCTCTCCCTTCCGACGAGGCTACGTTCCAGAGCCATCCGAGCCTCCAAAAACGCCCAGCAGAAAGTCAAGCAAGCCACGCGAAAAGGCAAAAAAATGGCGACTGAACAAAGTGTGGGAACCTGAAGATCCGGAACATAGGGCGCAGTGGTCACCTAGAAATAAGGAAGATGATGGGAACACTTCATGGCAACGACATTCGCAACCACGAGCAACAACGCGATCCGATGAGAGCACAAGCAGCAGCCAGGAGACGACAGAAGATGAAGGTAGTGTGACAGACGAGAGCGTCGTTGACGATATCACTGAAAAGCGAGCTATCGGCAAGGTTTCATCAGCAGTAGCAAAGCTCAATGCCTCACCAGACACTTATTGTCCATCCGCATTGCCTTTGTCGCTATCTGTAGATGGCGTATCCTCCGTCAAGGCCCCTGCTGGGTTTCCCCCTGACACTGGAACTGTAGTGTCCATGAGATCCATGCTGCGGTCAACAAGCCAAACATCTGATAACGGAAGCATAGCAAGCAGCCACGACTCGTTCTACAGCGCAGATGAGCCAACCACCGCCTCCGCGTCTGGAGAGGCCAATGACGAATCTAATAATCTGATGGATACTGGCCATATGTCTGTAGTTAAGGCCAGCCGTAACAATCACTCGAGGCAGATCTCCGAGATTACAGTAACACCAGGAACACCGGCACAGTTAACGCCGGCCGCAGTGCTAAATGAAGACACACGAGAGAATTCTAATCCATCCACACCTACGCTAATCAGTGACTCTGATGAGGATCACGAGCTCCCATTTACTGATGCTGTCACACCTCCAGACACTATCCGCCTAGTGAGAATACCTGATCAAAGTTCGGACTCCGCAAGTAATGAACAAGCACTTCGAACTAATCGACAACTGTTTACCTCACAAGCTCCCAGCCGCAGACGTGCAATCTCTGTTGCACTGGTCCAAAAGGTATACTCTCTTCTTGTGGGCCCTCCGTCGCATCTTGTCTCGCTGATGCTTGACATTGCTGCCCGCATAATGCGCAATATGCAGGGTGCCCGAGATCTAAAGCGCCGTATACCGGGTGCCTGGAACAGCAGTCACACTGAAGAGGAAGACGAGTGGGATGAAGACGATTTCGGAATTCCGCTCGACAATCTAAGACGAGAATCTAACACTGGCGACCCATTACCAGGATTGAGACGGACACTGTCACGGCCGAATTCTGAAGCGAGCAGCGATTATGATGCACTCATCGAAGGGCCGATGGAGGCTAGCGGAAAACTGGGAATGCGCACACCTGACTGATCATTCAAAACGAGGATAGAAACAAATAAATATGACGATAAATGAGCGTAACGGCGGTTGATGTAACATTATGTAAGGCCTTTGCTTCTGGATGTACAATTGGATAGCTTTTTGGAAGGGCATTTTGAAGCGCAGTGCCATGATTGCGCACTGAGATGCCGATTCAACGAATTAATAAACGTCTTGAATATTTCCACGATGAGATGGACACAATGTCTCTCGAGTCTTCTCTCTGCTGTTTCACCCAAAACATTCCATTTCGCCCCTCCTCAATGCTGTTGAAATCGATATAGCCTTTTGTAACTGGCTCTCAATCTCTGAGCATTATCCCGTGCCTCTTCCATGATTGTTTACTTACATGGATGCATTTGTACTTTTCCAGATAATCACTCTAATTGCTCAAAACCGTATCCTCTTATTTGAAGCTCTCAAATGTATTCAAGTAGTGTTTGGAGTAACTAAGAACAGAGTCTGATTGAAATTGAGCTAATCAAATGGTCAACTGTTCTTTGAACAGTAGTTGTTTGAACAGAATGCAGCACCGACCTGTTGCTGCACCAAGTTCAATTCCACGTCACACTATCAGACCGATTCTTAAGGAAAAAGAGAGTAAGCTTGGATCTATAAGCGACGCGGTTCATCATCAGAGTTCTGAACAAGAATAAAGACGTATCTAATAAAAGGAACAAATAAAAATCCAAGAGACCAAAACATGCTGAGTACAAAAGGCTGATCTTAGAGGCAGTGTGGAAGAGCGCTGCGAACGTCGTTATTCTCTTAGCTGACCTAGGATCCTCAATCTCCATAAAAAGGCACTAATACCAAAACAAGTGTCATGGCTAGATCAGGGATAGATTTAAGCAGGTTGTTGTCTCGTTCAGTTGCGCAACCATACACTGAAATTAAGATCATTGCAACGAGCTCTGCCTTTCTATACTTCTTTCTGGGTAGATTCAGTACTTAAAAGTGCTGATAATCGTGGTACCCAAATGATCCCTATCCAGCCTCATGGAACTTCTACAGCTTTCGTGGGACTCTGAGGCTTTGTTCTCAGCAACTAAAACATGGCTGAGTTTCCCCACACTCTGGTCACAAATATTCTTATATTCGTATGACTTTAGCCATTTCTGATGTTCAACGAATTAGATGTCTTTGGAAAGTGATGTTGCCCAGCTCTGCCTGCTGCAACAAGTGTTGGATGATGTCATGTCTAATACAGCGAGCTCTGGCCAATGGCTTTGATTCTTAAGTTCAAAGTCGTATCGACCGTAGTCCAAACAGCAACTTTGTACAATATGGTTTAGCTTTAAGCGAAGGCGTTAAAGATTGCTCGACCACGTTTTATGATTTGACCATTTGGCGGGAGAAACTTGCTCAAATTATTTATCTGCTAGCTTTTGGAGGAGGAATGATGCAAAATTCTAGTCTTCGCCGTACAAAATGACCTTAGTTCGCGCTCTTCTCGAGCTTCGCCCATGGGTCTTCAATGAAACTCGGTAAGAACCAGGCGATATCACCATTTTCATTCTTAACACCTTTGCGATACGCTTCCAGTTCTTTCCAAGTCAGCTTATTGAATATGTCCATAGGAACCCCAGTTGGAAAGGCGTTCTTGGGCTGCTCAGACGTGGGTGAAGTTGAAGATGCATCTGTAGGAAGCTGTGTGATTTGAGCAGGATTGTGTGTCAATATCTGAGTATTCTGGAATCCGCTGTTTGCGAGCGGCGTTGTAACGTGCGCTGTTGTTGATGTTACGGGTTGATCCACGTGCGATGTTTTACGCTTCTTTACTTCCGGTCGTGAACCAAAACTCGTAAAGCCCATGACGTCTCCCATTCTGGCATCGGAAACTTCCTGATCAGCTATATCCATATTATTCGGCAATATGATCTTCATTCATCGAGGCTCGTGGTATTGAAGCTGACGATTGAAAGAAGAGGACGTTCGAAGAGATTATCTGTGCACATGTTGGAGGGTTTGTTTCCTGGTCAGGCGACAAGGCCCACAGCCTTGCGTATGGTCCTGCCTCATATTATGATGTCGAAAATGTGGGACAAATTATCAAAGTACAGCTTATCAATGACTTTTCGCACAGCGTTGTACAATAAATGTAAGAGTCACGTAGCTCATTCTTGGAAATTTTGAATCGTGGTATTGTTATGATCTATATGTCTTCTAACCCATGCAGTAAATTAACAAATTTAGATGACCGACAATATTGACAGAAGAAATTCAATCAGCATAAAACCCTCACATCATAGTCCGAGAAATAATCAGGAGGAGCATTGCATCGTAGCGCCGGCCAGGTTGACAGGTATTGCCGAGCTCGTGCCGTCAAGATCGGCGTACGTGTGCTCGGCCGTTAAGGTTCCGATGACTTGACCACTGATATTGGTTATGACGCAGTTGACAGTTCCTGGGAATTGAACGAGTTGAACGCTAGATGCGAGAACTTGCACCGGCACGCCAACGGGTGTCCCTGTGAGGGCATTGTAGAGATTGATGATCGTTCCGTCAAGTGGAGCTACGACAGGAGCATGCGCGCCCGTCTGGTCGTTGCTGAATGAGACCGTAGCCGTCTGTGTAGAAGCTGGGGCATTTTGTGAAGTTGGAAGGGATGAGACAGTAGCCGTGAAGATGGCCAGAATAGAAGCGAATGTTGGCTTCATAATGAAATGACTAAAGTTGACGAATTTTCGGCGTTTGCGATGTTTGTTTCCTTAGATTTCGAGTCTCTTAAGTCTTTGAGAGGTACGTATCTGCAGTTACGATGGCTGAAGTAAAAGTTCTCCGAGACTGCAGGCATACCGACCATTTATACCCCTTGAAAACCTTAGGACGAACCCGTCTCCAAAATCTTAAGAATAGACATCTACACGTTACCGTCCAAGAATAGTATATCGAGCCATGTAAGCTACACGCTACCAGAGAAGCCATTAGCGTCACTAGTCAGATTGGTAAGACCTCAAATGTGGAGGACGTCGATGACCAGGTGATCAACATCCACTATGAACGAACGAACAAATCCGGTTTGGTTCTAGGGTAAAAGAATTGTGTGAGCATGCCAAACTTGGATCGTTCCAGCTGAAGGCGAACCGTCGAAAAATAAAAAGTGCGAGGTCATCCTGTTGTTCGCCCGTCATGTGGTAACGTTCTGTTCACAGCAGATGGTCCGGAAGTGGTTTGGTTCTGAGGTACCAAACCAAATAAAGAGCAAACACGCGGACCAACCCAGTCAGACCCAATAAAAAATGTCTTGTCCAAACTGGCAACAAAGCTGGGTATTTTTCGTATTTCATCAGCAGAGAGCACTCGTTTTGGTTGCGCTCACTTTCTTGGAGGCTGTGCACAAAACTTGCAAGGCCATTGCATGCGATGGAATGGCAAAAGCAGAGCCTCTACCAAGAGAATCCAAGAGCGAAACGTGCCCCGCTCATACGAGTCTGTTCGGCATGCGCGGGCTGGGGCTGAAAATTCATCATTCCTTCTTCGCTCTAAGTTCATTTAGCTCGTAATCGATCCAAACTGGCCTTTGCTACCGTCGTCATCATCAACAGCAACAACAACAACATCATCATCATTATTATCATTATCGTCGCTTATATAGTCTTGTCTATGCTGTCTGGCTATGGAAATTTGCTTTTAAATGGCAAAGTGCTCAGCTGCTGACCAGCATCTGCCTCCAGGTTAAAGAGCTTGTAGATCCAATTCAAGATGATGAAGAAACTATCAGGTTCACCCATGTGCTTCTTACCTGTCACGAAGCGTGCTTCCTTGGGCGGACCGTGTTGCAGCGTCAAATAGTAGTCATCGATAGGGAAGATTTCATCCTCTGTACCGTTGACGAGAAGAAGACGTGCACACTGGGGCTTATCGAGCGTTCCATCCTTAAGCAGCGAGAATTTGTCTGAGGCCTCCTTTTTGAAGGTCTCGACGTCGTTACCGTACCCCCACTTGTAGGCTAATGTGTTTGCGAGACTTGCGGCCGTTAGCAATATACTTAATGCTGCAGAAGTTCGCTAGAACTCACTCAAACGGATACTCGAGATGGTTCACCTCGTTTAGCCATTCAGGGTCGAACATATGATGCATTCCACCCCCTAGATTGACCGCACCAAGAAGTTTCTCGTAGTGCGTGTATGCAACTCTCGTTGTATAGAAGCCACCTGTTGAAAAGCCCCAAGTGCACAGCTTCCGACTATCAATTGTATCCTGCGTGTCGATCCATTCGAACAGCGTAGACCACATTCTGTCCGGACTGTTCGGATCAAGGGGATCGGCAGGCGAGTCACCAGTTCCCGGGATCTCCATGATAATTGTGGCGACGTTGTTTCTTCGCCAGCCTTCTGCCCAAACACATAGTTCCGTCCGATATCCGTCGAGGCCAGTGACAATGATGACGCAGGGCACAGGCTTCCCTTCTGTTGCACCGTCTGGAATCTGAACGAAGACCGGGAGTATGTCTTTATCATTTCCAGCCTTGTGCTTGTGGGGGATCTGCACTTCGTGGACGGGTGAGAATCCCCCAAGTTCGCCTCTCAGTCTAGAGCACATTAGCAAAAAGTCAGTAGCACCAATCGTGCGACAGGAATACTTTAACCCTTTCAACACGACCTCCTTGGATTTATCCCAGCCCTTCCGCTGCTTTGCAGACCTTGGGGCCGGGAACCGGGATATTCTGTACACAGCAGAAGACCTAAAGTAGTACTCGGCAGCCCTCTCCAAGTCGCCTTCGGTCTCCGCCTCGAGGGCCTTCTTCTCGAGTTCTTCCGCCTTAGGAAAGAAGTTGTCCGGGTAAGAATCCCAGTCGTACGGCTCCTTAAGACCTTGCTACCGAAGCAGATCAGCGATGCACCAGAGCACCGTGCAGAATTTCGAGAGGGGTTCGGCTCACCTCTTTCATGCGCTCAAGGATAGGTTCGAAGTCCTTCGCAGCACCGAACATGAACGGGTAGACACCCATGGTAGCAGGAAACTTCCACTTCGTCTCCCACAGCTTCTCCCAGCTCTCGTGGTGCGGCGCCACTTTCTTCATATTCTCCTGGATAAAGAACTTGCCCCCGGGAGCTGCCATGGTGCATAAAACGACGTGTGTGGGACCGACAAGGAACGCAATTGCCGTCTTCGAGAGATCAAGCGATATTCTGGAGCTGCAGACGAGGACAATACGGAGATATCTGGATTGTGTCCATCAACAATTGACTTAACGGTATGGTCCAAGCTACCCTGGAGCTGTTCCCCTCCAGGTCCCACTGCCAAAATCGATGTGGCTATGGCCATATCGGATCTTAGCGGGTTCTAAATATAGCGCGGCTACGCTAGCAGGCCTGGTGAACCCGCCATCGGCATTTTGCAATTTGTCCGACGAGGCCGAATGTTGTGGACATCTTATCTTGCAATCTGTCGTGAAAGGACAGCCGTCAGGCTGTTTAACTGATCAAGAACGCGCAAAGTCTGGGGAGCTTATGGAAGACATCGCAAGCTGCCGCACCGTCTACCAACTTCGCTGGTCCGTTCTGTCTTAGACTTGAAATACTAAATATGGAGGAATACATTGTCCAGATCAACGCCGTGATGTACAACTGAATTCATTGATTTGGCTCAGCTAAGGAAGTCTTCTACGCTAAATCTGTATTCGTTGGCTATCAACGGAGGTGCTGCACCCGCGCTGTTCACATTACCATGAAAGCATTTCTGCCTCTCGTTCTGAGACGAACTTTAGCAGTGTTTGTCTAGTGAATAAATTACTTGCCAAATAAGAAAAGTATATACAAAATGGAAAATTCGCGAAGCATTTGTCCTTTCGCAATGCCGTAGAGTATCACTTTATCCTACAGCGCCACAAACCGTATGCTATAAACCGTCGAACATGCAAAAGCCTGCTGAATTTTTTTTTACCACACACGGGAATCAAAGACTTTACTTCAGAGCATAGGCTTCACATCGTCGGCGACCTTAAAAGGCGCATCGGTCTTGGCCCTGACTTCATCGACGGTTACACCATCCGCAAGCTCGATTAACGTCAGACCATCCGTGAAGTCAACATCGAACACGCACTACAAAAACGGTTTAGTCTCCTTAATTTGCTTATGAAGACTCTTGACTTTCTACTCACCAGATCCGTGATAATCCTGCTCACGCAAGCCTTGCCCGTCAACGGGAACTCGCACTGCTTAAGGATCTTCGGCCTGCCCTTCTTATCCGTGTGCTCCATGGTTACGACAACCTTGGTGCTTTGCGGGTTGCTGACGAGATCCATAGCGCCACCGAAGCCCTTGATCTTACCTGGTAACATCCAGTTGGCAAGATCGCCTCGGGCACTGACCTGCATTGCCCCGAGAATCGTCAGATCAATGCGGCCTGAGCGGATCATGCCAAAGGACTCGTCTGACCCAAAGCACGAAGCACCTGGAAGAAGGGTGACGGTCTCCTTGCCGGCGTTGATGAGATCTGGATCCTCCTGGCCTTTAGCTGGGTAAGGGCCCAGTCCGAGAATGCCGTTCTCGGACTGTAGCTGCACTTCCACGTCAGGGCTGACGAAGGTAGGGGCGAGCATGGGCATACCGATGCCCAGGTTCGCGTACATGCCGTTCTTGAACTCCTTCGCAGCGCGTCTGACGATTCTCTCACGCTTACTGGCTGCATCGCCTGATCCAAGGGCGCCGGCCTTCATCTCCTCAGGAGTCTTTGCGTTGACAATCTTCTCGATGTTCTTCTTTGTCGTCGACTGAATGACGTGCTTGACGTAGATTCCTGGGACATGCACGGCGACCGGGTCGATCTCGCCAGGCTCGACGATGTGCTCTGCTTCAACAATGGTCACTTTGGCATTGCGCGCCATCGCGCCGTTGAAGTTCTGAGCAGCGAGTCTGAACTGCACGTTTCCTAGCCTGTCCGCCTTGTATGCCTTGACAAAAGCGTAATCTCCCTTGATGGCCTCTTCCATGACGTAGCTCTTGCCATTGAATACCTTCACATCCCGCGGCTGCGAGTATTGCGCTACGGTGCCGTCGGCGTTGTGTTTGAGGGGCAGCTCTCCCGTCTGCACGACGGTACCAAATGCCGCCGGGGTGAAGAATGCAGGAATGCCGTGTCCGCCAGCCCTACACCGCTCGGCGAGAGTGCCCTGGGGTGTGAGTTCGAGCTCGATCTTTCCGCTTAGGTATTGCTGTTCGAACAGCTTGTTCTCGCCAACGTAACTCGCAATCATCTTCTTGATCTGGCCGGATTCAAGCAGCAGTCCCAAGCCGGACCCAACGACGCCAGCATTGTTTGACACGGCGGTCAGATCCCGAATCGACGGATTCTCCTTCACAGCATTGATCAGTGTGTCGGGAACACCGCAAAGGCCAAAACCACCACACAAGACGGTGGAGCCGCTCTTGAGATCTTTGATGGCTTCCGCAGCGGAAGGGAGGACCTTATTGATGCGGGATCTTGGCAGGGAGGAGGAGAATAAGCGTGCTTGTAGGAGTGTCTACATGATTGCTTGTGAGCAGACGATAAAAGGCATAAGTCGCAATCGAATCCGGCTTTCCACGTACCCTCGAATGTGATGATTTAGAGAATTGGCCTGCAGTTCGCAAGCACAACGACGCTGACGACGGCATTGTGCGGGTTTATCTGCGTGTGTTCGGACGTGCAAAGGCAGTTGGTGCAATTGAGCGTCTCCGCTAGCCACATACGCAGCCTTGTTTGTTCAAACGTGTATCACACTCTCTACTCGACCACACGCGAGAAGAGAAGCTGGCTAGCAGCAGCACAGGAAATGCGAGCAAGAGTGACGAGAAGAGTAGGTAGGATTGGATTGGTAAGACAAGAAAGTCTACATTCATATAATTGACGCTAGACACGGCCAAACGTTCCCCACCGTCCCCTAGCCCATGGCATTACTGCGAGCTGATCGCGGAAAGAGCTCAGTCTGGGGTCAAGCACAACGCGGAACGCTGATGTCGGCAGGTGCGAGGCGAAAGTGCGGGACTTTCCGACTGTAGACGCACGGGCCTGCGACGTCGGCGGCTAGCTTCGGCTGCTCTCCACGGAGCAGCAGGTGCGACCGAGATGATCGCGACCGCCGTCCATGGCGGGACCACCTCGGTCAGTGGAGCTCACGTGAGTCTAAGGCGCGATCCACTCACAGTGAATGCTGAACACTAAGGAAGTTGCGTTGCGTGTCGTACGATCACGCCGTGGTATTCCACCTGCAGTGAAAAGACAATGCTGGACCGTTCTTCCATCGAGCAGCGTGCATCTCAAAACTCTTAACATTTGCAAGTCTCCTGTTCCGGGAGAGAATTCAAGGCGATGTGCTTCTCGTTTCTATACTTCTTCCGTCCACCCAAGCGCCGGATATGACCTTTTCCGACAGCGCCAACCCGCGGCCACACAGGGAAAAAAAAAAAAAGTCACGCACATATACACACGCGCGCGCGAACGAACACCAAGGTCTTCCCCCGTAAGCCAGAGTGTGCAAAGGACCGGTTGCGGCTACGAAGTACTCAAAGAACCCTAATAAAGACAGTACAGAAAAGAAATCAGACGTAAGAAACGCTTTACAGGTAACCAACCCCGTCAAACCATCGGACCCCAAATGATGCTATCCGCTTGCGTGTACGGACTCTCGTCGCTGTCCAACTCTACGAATGGACTGGTGCTCGTGCTCGCGCTGCTTCCCTGCCGAACACTCTTGCCTCCCGTGAGTCTTGTTAGCGTGGCAATCCATCGTTTAATCGGCGTCGACAGCTCCGTTGCGCCGTCGCTGTTGCGCGCCATGACCTCGTGTAGTAGCATCAGCAGTTGATTCAATAGCGCGTGCACCTCCTCGTTCTTTTCGCCGTGGCCGAGAATTCCGAGTACAAGAGCAGACGAAAGGCCGCGGGAGAGCGCAGACCAGCTGTGTGACGCAAACGCGGTCAGACGGTTCAGCCCCAGGAATGCTCTCACCGTGTTTGTCAAGCTATCGAGACAAGTCTGACGCATCGTCATAGCAAGCTCCGTCTGCGCGATCTTGGGTTTGATTGCTTCGCGGCACACTTCAGACATGATGTACGACGTGTGTAGATACAATGCCCAGTGCTGAAGTTGCTCTTGCAGGGACTGACAGTGCTGCGAGGACTTCAGATGTGCGGCCGCGTTGCTCATAATCTGCCGAAGCAGCTGCTCGTAGTGTTGCATGCGATGGAGCATGTCGTTGGTGCTGCGCGGGATCCCTCGGTCTTGTAGCAGTTCCAGCCCAACTTTTGTAACCTGATACATGCACCCGGCATACGAGAACGAGCCATCGGCCGCGTACGAGTCGTACGGAAGGCCTTTGCCTTCCGTGTAGAAAATGCTTGCTGATGCCGGCGCACGATCGAATGTGATTGAAAGCAGACTTTCCTGCCACATCATGGTCCACGCAATCTTGCACCGGTCATCTTTGAGATTCTGCGGAATGCTCTCCCTACACGGTCTGTGTAGACCCAGGACTTGTGCCAAGCGCGTGGTCATCCCCAGCAGCGACCATGCAACACCCGCGTTCATCGTGTTCGAGATCACGTTGCCAAGGACGAGTAAAGTTTGAATTGTCTCCAGCGATGGGTTGGACAAGAAATTCGTCATCCGTAGGCACTCGAAGCTGCAGCAAACAAAGACACGCGAAGCCAAATCGAGCTCTTTGACAGAGACATCTGTGCATTGGCAGCCGGACGCAAGTGTCGCAAAGAGCAATCCGATCCAGTTGAGCTTTTTACCATATGCAGATTGCTCATCAATACCATAGGGAACGGGATGAGAAAGGGCTTCTGCACGAGCTAGATGAAATTCAAACAGCTCGCTCTCAAACTTCTCGATATTGGCAACAGCAGGATACACTACACCAGAGATGTCCCTGAAGCTCGAGAAGTAACGATCAATGTCCTGTTCGGGGGGCAGTGTTTTGCACATTTCAATGACGCGTGCAAGTCTGCCCTGTCTGAGGTCCGAGAGAGAGACAAAAGGGTACGTAGCGCTTTCGTTTTCGAGCCCAAAGGCTGGCAAGACGTTGGTACCCAGAAGATCCTCAAGCTGAGAACTGTATTGCATCACGAAGGCGGGAACCGAATTCCCTCCAACGTGGACCGTTTGTCCCGTGAGCTCATTTTTGGAATGGATCCCGTCAAAGAGTAGCAGATTCGAGTCTTCCTTGGCGTTGCCTGCCGACAATGCGTTTCCGTTGAAATGAGAGGGACCCGACGCACCGCTCTCTTGTCGAAGATCAGTACTGGATACCGATGCGACATTGATCAGACCCCTGATCTCCGCATTCAGATCGCTGGTGCTTCGCTGAAAGTGCTCCAGTTTGGCCATCAACTTCTCGAACGAATCTCTCGGCATTGTCACCGTGTCACCCATCAGCTTCTCTGGCGAGAAGCCCAACGATGTTTCCGCGGGCGTCAGTAACGAGGCGTTTCTTGCGACCTCTCTGTGGGCTCCTTGATGTGTCGCAGTAGAAGTGCCTATATCAGACCGGTTGGGCACGTGCTCTGTGCTATTCTCATAGATGCACAGCTCCGGATACCGTCGCTCGATGCAATTAAGACACGGCTGCTGCTGATCGCATGCAACTTTGCGTTTCCTGCACACCTGGCAGGCTTTCTTTTCACGCGGCTTGCGCTTCGACTTGATGTAAGAGTCCAGATCCGGATTCGATTGCGAGTAGCTGTTTGCTCCCGAATCCTGGTAGTGCGCATGCCCGGGATCACCATCATGGTCGCCAGCGTGTTTCCGCTTCCTTGTTGGTTGCGACTCTGGCGAGGCCTTGCCGTTCGTTTGCAGCGCTGAAGGCGAGTTGAAGGACCCAAACATTTGCCCCGCTGAGGGACTTCTGATACGGTTCTCGTGGCCTGGATCCATGAGGGCGACCAAATTTTTATCTGCAACGGTTCGATCGCTCCCGAGGAGCGTCGTCACAAAGGTATCCACGGCGCCCGAGGCGAGTTGTGGGGGCGGGCAAAGTAGATTTTGGGTTGAAGTAATGACTGAAAATTGACGACGGCCCGCACCTTTGCGGAGGCTGAATAAGCACAATCGGCTTTGCCAACTTGGGAAAGTGTGGCTGGAGTAGCACCTCCACATTTCGAACCGATTATCAACTGTGGATTTTACCGAATAGTCCATCACACCCTACCTCAGCTGCGTATACACGGCCGCTATAGCTGACATCCTACTCTTATTCAACGCAGAAAAAGACCCACCTCTCTCATTCGAGAATCTCTCTACACACATACAACAATTGAAGTATTGCACCCTTGAATCTTCAACCTTTCAATGTCATGATCGTCTCATCGGCAGCTGTCAAAACAGGAAAACCGGAACTGCGTCATGGCTGAGAGAGGCAATTCATGGTGAACTAATCGAGTAGTGGGAGAGTGCTCGTGCATTTGCTGTGGAAAAGTAACTATCGTACAATGTCATCGAGTTCGAAAGTTCGATTTGCTTGCATTCTATTTGCTCAAGAGATCAGTTGTTGGCAGCAGAAATCGGTCGCTCACGGGGCACAAGCATATTTGACCGTCTGACCTCTTACGCTACGCAGCACTGGACTGTAAGGTCCGAACGGTAACAGGAGGTCCGCTTAGCATGCTCCTCTTCGCAAGGTGTTCAATCCAACAGCAAGGCATTTGAATGCCTCTTGTTGTGTCATATTTGGCTTCCTGTAGAAGTGAACTGTCCGAAGTCGAGGTTGAAGAACGGAAAAAAAGCATTTTCCCTGACCAGCCAATTCACATCTTCGAAAAGCAGCTCATCGACTCCCAAGTATATCCAGTGCCAACCTCGTCATTCCACCTCACGTATCAAGCAAGAATTGAGCCCACTTGTCCAGCACGATTACCTGAAACTGGTCTTTCCACTGATCCTTAAACGATTTCTTCAGGTATTCGCTGCTAATACTCTTTGAAAAAGCCACCAGTTCCACAAACCAGCCCTTCTTCAGAGCTCTTACGATCATCTTCATAAACCCTTCCGAGTATTCTGCCTTGGCAGCGTCGCCTGTTGCGACAACCATGCGTGAAGGGATGTCCGTATCGACGATAGACTCCAGAATCCTCAGGTGAAGGATCTCATCAACACCTTGCTCGACCCATTTTTCAGAGGCGGGCGACGGCGAGAAAGCCTGAACTGGACCTGTGGATGCGGTTGGAGGAGTGGTACTAAGCATACTGACCTGTGAGCTGCCATTCGTTCCGCTCTGTGTTCCAAGAGCAGCAAACGAATTTCGCGACTGCAGGGCAAGCATGCGGCGTTGTCGTTCATTGGGCTCACGGGACTTGAAAACTTTCTCAAGTATAAGCGTTTCGTATCCGATTTGTTTGGCAAGTTCCATGGCAGGCATGAGAGGGTAGCTGCCTGCGAGGACTCGTTTCGCGACCGGTCGTCTACGTTCGAGCAGAAGGACAAGCGCGTCAAACGAAATATTCTGGTGGGGGATGCAATGATGCATCTGCATCTGCATCTGCTTCAAGTGATCCATGAAGCCAATCCATATATTGGAGAAGTCCACAAAGACATGAATACCAGACGGAGATGAGTTGTGGTCGGCCATTAGCACGGGTTGCGTGAGCCACTTCTTGTCGTCGGGAAACTCGTGCACGAGGCGTAGAAAGAGCTGAAGATCGCGTTCTTCCTTTTCAAGAATTTGAAACGGTGCCCTTAATTGACTGTTAGCTCGTGTCTTTTGAACACAAATATTGACAAAGCATATTGGCTAAGCGAGTAAAGGATGCTAGATGCTCCGGTTGTTTTACCGCTTAAGTGCCTGCAAAGCTTGCGCAAAGTAGCCAGTCTACAACCCATCCGGATGGAGTCACTGATGAGTTGATCGGAAATGACTAGCACACAAAGAGCGAGGCAGCATCCTGAAGGGATGAATGCAGAATGAACAAATCTGTCTTTTCCGCAGCCACAATGCCCTCCGTCATGATTGCGATCCAACATCCTTTCCCTGACGAGTCTTGATACAATTTCAAGGCGCAAGCGAGATCTCGATATCTTGCACACTCCTGAAAATGTTTCAGAGACATGCGCGAACAAAAGATCCACGCTCGGACCTGAAATATATTTAGCTATTAATACAAGGAAATGGTATACTTGCTGTGCTCTTTTCCGCATTGGAGTGGCCATCATTGGAATCTGTGTAGGTATATTGTTCTCGAACTGAGCCTGAAGCGACTGCGACAGCTCCTGGGCAGGTCGCAATTTAGCAGAATGTTGCGGCAGCGCAGAAGGTAGAAGATGGTTTGAAAGTGCAACCCTTTTCGGCGTTGCCAATGTTTCGCCCTTTTGAGTCGTGTCCTTGGATCGAGTTCTCCGGTGTCTTTCCGGAGATGAGGCGTTGGCGGCTTCTGCATGCAGTACATTTTCCGCATTCCGACAAATCTTCGTCTTCGGAGAGCCTCGAGACATCGCCTTATTACGCACAGATTGGTCAACTATCGTTGACTTAGGGTGTTTACTCGCCTTAGAGGCTGGAGTCTGCCTGGTGCGGTCTCGAATCTCGGACTCCGACTCGATATCACTGGCAACTTTACGTGCCCGAGCCTTCTGTTGATTGACCTGTTCAAGAAGCTTCCTCTGCTTCTGTCTCTGCCTCTTCGCACGCTTGGCTTCCTTTCTAGCCCCGACAGGGTCTTGCTGATCTTGCAAATTAGAGACAACAAAGGACGATCCAAGCGTGTGTACACGGTCATCGTCCGAGGTTGGAGTTGTCGCTATATCTGTGCTGTCCATATAGTCCAGCTCATCCTTCCAAGTAACGCTCTTCCGTGCCGAATAGCACCCACCATCGGAGGCGTACGTGTCATCCCTAAGTGGCGGGGCAGGCGGGTGGTTGGGGTCGAGGACAGCATCAGCCCCGGATGCAGCATCTTCAGGTAGAATGGGATGCCGCTCATTGCCTTCCACAGCTGATGTTATGCCAATTGCTTCCCACAATCTGCTGAAATCGCCCAGCCCTGAGAGCTTTGGCTTCGGCGACGTGTCGAGCTTTGCGTGCTCGCGTACAGCGGGAAGATGATGCTTGTCGAGCGAAGTGCTGTGCAGAAGCTGTACGGCATCTGAAAAGTCCCACGGACTTGGTCGAGGTTGCGAGGGCATGTAAGACTAGCGGTCAGTCGTCGAGACTGGAGGGGAGTCTAGAGCGGTCAACAGAATGAAATCAAGAAGAGGATGTTTGAGAATTTGGCATCTTACGGACGGACAAGCAGGAAAAACGAAGATACTGAAGAGTTCATTTCAAGATTTCATACGTGCGAGGTGCTAGAAACATAGTATTCTTGTGATGTGGTGGAAGCTGTTGATGTGAAGTCAGCAAGAGCCGTGACTTTGAGGCGGGTGACGATGTTCGCCTGCAGGTCATTGACGTTTTAGCGCTGTGGATCGGACCCAGGCACCATCATCGTGCTGTGCTGAGTTGTGCTGTGTCGTGCTATGGTATACTGTGCGGTGCCATGCGGTGCTGCGCCGCCTCCAACGCTCATGTCCTCCGGCCTCAATAATTAACTTACAGGTCCGGCCTTGGCTGTGAAACGTGAAGAGCCACTCACCTTGCCATCAGCAAGACATCATTCTAGCCCAATCATGCTCGACACCTCACCTCCATCTTTCTATCCTCTTCAGTGCTCAGTCCAACCCGGCCTAAAACTCCATACTCCCAGACCATGCATGCTCCGCAGCAGACGTTCCTCATCGTTCATCGATCTCTGGCGCACAAATACGGGCCTCTGCGGATACGATCCGGATCTCCAGTAGGCTATGCTTGCACTCGCCTCGAACTCAACGTCATCTTGCCCAGGCCTACAGCCGTCCAAATTCGCTGTTCGGTTCATGGGGAAGCGTAATGTCAAAGTCCGGACTGCCCCGCCAAGGTTGTTCTCGCTCCCGACACCGGAGTGTGGGATTATCCTCATTTTTCCATCAGTCGACAATCTCGCCCGCACGAGGGGAGGTAGAGATACCAAGGTGTGGACCACTAGTCTCCACATAACACAGCTATCGATAGACAGATCCCGTTGCGACAGACTGATGACTATGCTGTCACGAGCATGTCTGCAGACTTCTGGGCCGGCTACATCAGTGGCGCGGCGGGCATCGTAATCGGAAATCCTCTCGACTTGCTTAAAACTAGATTACAAGCTGGCGATACAAGCGTGCGTGCGACGTCGCCTGCCTCGCTGCGTGGAACGTTCGACAAGGCCGGTACGCTCGTCAGAGGTATGCGCACGCCGTTGTTCCTGCTGAAAAGCGTCTGGATCGGGTGGTGTTTGAATTCGATCCGAACGAATTTCCTGTCCAACCTGGAATAAAGGCAAAAAAGTACTATGACTGACGTCTCTTTTTATGCAGGAGCTACAGCGCCAATCCTTGGCTACGGAGCCCTCAATGGCTTGCTTTACTATACGTACAACCGCTCGCTCACACTCCTCAACGAGTCCTTCCAGCATCCGACTGATCTGACCAAGGTATGGCTTGCCGGTGCCATGGGCGGGCTCGCCAGCTTCATCGTCAGCGCGCCGACCGAGTTGATAAAGTGCAGGGCCCAAGTCGCCCATGCCTCCTCCGGCTCGGCGACGAGCTCCTTCGCCATTGCGAAAGAGATATGGTCCTCTCCCTCCCACGGCGGGATCCGCGGGCTGTACTTCGGCGGCGGCGTGACAAGCGTGCGAGATGCCGTCGGCTACGGTTTCTACTTCTGGAGCTATGAGCTGTCCAAGCGGCTTCTCCATGCCGACAGCCCAGACGACACCTCGAGACAAGCAGGTGTCAAGATCCTAGTCGCGGGTGGCATAGCCGGCGTCGTGACGTGGGCCAGCATCTTTCCGCTCGACGTAATCAAGACGCGCGTGCAGACACAGGCATTTGCTTCATCGCGTGGTTCAGGCTCAGAGAACGAGCCTCTTCTCAAGCCATTTCGGCGAATGGGCGCCTTGGATGTTGCAAGGCAAGCCTACGCCAGCGAAGGGCTTGCAGTGTTCTTTCGTGGACTAGGCATCTGCAGCGTGAGGGCTTTTATTGTCAACGCTGTTCAATGGGCCGTGTATGAATGGATGATGCGAGTGTTGGCTGGAGCGAGCGCAAAAGAAGGCTTACATCATGACGTGGAAACTGGGAAGAGCTTAGTAGATATGTAGATGTTACACTTAAGAAGTCAATAAAAAAGCTTTAGATGTTCGTCGAATAGTAATACATACGGCCGTTCGCCTGTTCTTTTCTTGTAGATGATACAAGAAACACTTCGTTATCCATTCAACAAAGTTGCATGTGGCCTAATAAGGCGCTGCTCCCAAATCCTCGAAAAAAATGTCATCATGTTTTTTGATCAACCATGTGATTGATCATAGCCCTCAAAATCAAGTGAATGCTTTCAGACTCTGGAAAACGACTCCACCATATTTGCCGCTTGGAAAAATAGCCATAGAAGAGGCAGTTCCGGTCCTAGCTCGCTGAAGATTTGGGAAAGAATATAGCTCGATGCAATACATCTGCTCATCGAGGGCCATAACCTCACTTATACAGATGCACAAACTTCACGCCTTACCCGGCCGGCCAGCACGTGTGGGGTGCATTGCATCCCAATTAACGTTCACGATTAAACCCGATTCAATACCACAGGGCCATCACAACAGAAGTTCCACAATACCGAACTTGCCTTCAATGAAAAGAAAGAAAGACGACCCGTTGTCCTAGCTATCAACTTCCTACCCCTGCCTTACTTCCCCAGCTTTACATTTGTTTCACCTTCATTTTTTTTTTTGAATCGATGTTGATTTTTTTTTGTGCCTTTGTTCCGTAGCAAATACATGCCTCCCTATCCGAAATGAATCGAATAAACCCGTAATCGCTTTTGGTGATGGTGACAAGTGGAATGAAAACAATAATGAAAATCGGACGCCAGCGAATCGATATCAGTCAGGAGGGCGTAACGATGGACTGTTTGGATGGATTTCGACCACCCAGCTGAGATCATTGTTGAATTGCTCGATAAATCTGCGAATCGCCCCTCCCGGTGAAATCATGTACGGCGGCACGCTGAGGAAGAATGCAACCTCGTCTTCCCGCATTGCCCGTTCAAAAAGTTCCCAAAAACCTTTATAGCTGCCATTGATGTTCTGCCGATGTGGCGGAGAATGACGCGGGAGCTGTTTGCCCTTATGACAAGGGTTAAGAGGTTTGGGAGACATGTCGTCTAGGCCAAAGCTGCGGTTCAGGTCATGATTGACAAACGCATAAATGGTGCCTAGACGTTGCGGGAGATCAGCAGACTGTCTAGCAGATCATCTTACATGGCCTCTTGACCACCTGCAGTGTCCATAGCCTCGCCAGCGCCATTTGGCGGATTCAGGTAGCGGACAAAGGACAGCTGCAAGGGACGACCACCATATTGGTACCCAGTGAACTTGGAAATGGCAGTCTCGGCAGACTCAGTAGCATCAAACTCAACGACACCAGAGCCCTTTGAGCGGCCGTTGGGCTCGTATTGAATCTCTGCCTTCTTCACAGGACCAATTGTGGTGAAGAGGTCAACGAGATCCTCGTTACTCGTGGACCACGGGAGATTGCGAACATGGATGATTGGACTCGGGTCGCCGCCAAAGGTTGCGTTGTCCGTGAATGGATTTGGAGGTACATTCGCTTGCGCTTCGCCTCCAAAGCCACCACCTTGCTGGAAGCCACCACCGTATCCTCCACGGTTGTATCCTCCGAAACCTCCACGGCCGCCTCCAAAGCCACCCCTGCCGCCGAAACCTCCACGGCCGCCGAAGCCGCCGCCGAAGCCACCACGGCCACCAAAACCTCCTTGAGCAGCGCCGGCGTAACGATCCTCACGGACCTCGAGAGCGCGACCTTGCCATTCGTAGCCATGGAACTGCTGGATAGCATTGCGGGCGTCCTGTTCATTGTCGAAGACGACGATACCGGAGCCCTTTGGTCGACCATCTGGACCCATATGAACGTCGGCACGAACGATATTGCCTACTTGGGCTACTAAACGTCAGCTTTGGGTCATCCAAACTTCATTCGGACGTCACTCACTGGCCTGACGGAACAAGTCCTTCAAATCCTGCCAGCCAACTGTATACGGCAGCTACACCCGTTGTTAGCTATCCTGCAATTCACGACCGCGACTAGAATCAGTATGGGAGACAAACATTAGACACGTAGAGCTGGTTGCCTGCAACACCACCAGCCGGGGGACCACCGAAACCACCACCACCGTAGCCACCGCGCGCACCGTAGCCGCCTCCATAACCACCGCGTTGCATACCGCTAGGTTGATTGAAGCGAGGTTCAGCCTCGCGATCCTGCAACAGAAAAAAAGAAGACGTTAGCAATGGCAGATGGCAAGGTGGAAGTCAAGTGCTTGGTGATTCATGGTAAACTTCACCAAGGGAAAAGTGAGAGAGAAATGACTCAAGTGCATTATGACATCAGATTATGTTGATGCAGATAAGAGGCGGAAGGAGTGACGTCGAAGGAGGCAGGAGGGAAGAGCGCTGGGTCGACAAGAGGAAGGTATGACCACTTACTTCACGAACATAGACGAGGCGACCCATCAGGTTCTGATTGCTGAGAGTGTTGACGGCATTCTGCGCTTGTTCTCGCGTTTGATACTCCACGATTCTAATGGGCGTAAGCGTCAGTCTCGCCTTTCTTTCTCATTTTGCACGTGCTCCCAACCTCAAGGGGGGGGAGGAAAATGAGGACATAAAACTTACCCGCAACCCTATATCTCGGCCGGACGACCAGGTCCTACCCGTCAACCAAATGTCCTTCACAAACCAAAGAAAAGCCAGCATAACCAGCCATCGACTTAGCCCACCTTGCTCATTCCATTCGGAAGTAGTAACACGTCAGCGTAGAGCACCTCGCCCGCTATTCACAGTTCGTCAGCATCTGTCCCCAGTGGCATCTGCCTCACTGTATTCTCAGTTTGCAGTGTACGGTGAGGACAGCACGAACCTTGACGCATGAAGTCTTTCAGATGATGCCATTTGACATCGTATGACAAATTGCCGACGTAGACGCGGCGGTCCTGCTGCGAATTCTCGCGTGCACTCGCCATGTCTTGCTTGGGGGCCGCGCTTCTGTCTTCGTAGCCGCGCGACTGGGATCCACGGCCACCACTGCCGTACGTGTTGTAGTTGCCTTGTTGCGCCGAAGAGTTGGCTCCCTGGCCCGGTGATCTGGAGCGACGGTCGCTGCGCCGATAGCCGTCTCGGCTTCGCGAGCGGCTGCGAGGTGAGTAGGAGCGTCGATGACGTGGGCTTCGTGAGCGTCGTCGAGGAGAGCGGGAACGATCGCGCTGAGAGGAATGCGATTCAGTGTTGATCATCCTTGACGACGAATGAGGGCGGACGGAGGGGGATTAAACGCAGCGGGAAAACGGCAATGAAAAGGGTTTAGGTGAGGGGAAGGGGGGTTTGGGTGTGCAGTTTTCGAGCGGACAGGCAGAGGGAAAGAAACGCAACGGTCGAGTGTTGGAAAGGTTGCGACCCAGTCACAGCGGGAGGAGCAAGCCTTGTGCGACGTGAACTTTTTCTGCCGGCGCGCGCGTTGCTTCGGAATGGAGCGCCAAGACACGAGTTGACATCAGACCAACCGGCGCACACCGGCCATGCTGACCAGCGTGTGTCTGACCGGCGCTGTGTTCCTGTGTGTTCTGGACGACAGGTGCGCGTCTGCCTCGAGCATTGCATGTTCGGATCTGCGTACGCGCGTCTTGATTCTGCGCAGCATGCACGATGGCGCGCCGCTGGACCACCGCCAACCAGCTGGTCAGAGCAGGCACTACTCGTGCAGACTGTCCTGACCCCCAGCCGGTGCGACGAGAGGAAGCATGGTGTGCGACGACGAACTGGTGATCGGGAGAGGGGCAGAGAGGAGCTGGGCAGTCAAGGCAGGATGTGAAGACTTACGCCTGGACGGTAGTTGTCGTCTGCTGTTGGAGGATGAGCAGTCAGCAAAGAAGAACACACGCGGGTACGCGCGCACGCAGGAGTGTAGTCCAACGTGCAAGACGGAGATGTTGCAGACGACCCTTGGAGGGGGCCAAGAGGGTGTTACCAAGGACGAAGGGCAGCGCCAGGTAGTGAGGAAAGGCCGGCCTTGGGTGAGGACAGGAGGGTGACAGGAGCAGTAGGGACAGGACAGGACCGGACAGACAGGTCTGGTACAGGGCAGAGTGGACAGCGGAGGCTCCAGGTCAAGTCAAGCAAGCAAGCAAGACCAGCGAGCAGGCGGACGGCCGGACTGGCGGGCAGGTGGACAGGATGACGGGATGACAGGTTGGAGGGGGACAGACAGGAGGACGTCGGGCGGGCTCAGAGCAGCGTTTTCATTGAGGAATGCGAGCGGAGGGCGCAGGATGCATCAGGAATCAATGGAGAGGACGGAGCGGCACTTACCCATTGTAGCACACACAGCAATATAAGAAGGGAGGGGAGGGGAGCAGCAGCTGGTATTTTTTTCAGATGCCAGAGGAGGCAGCGCAGCGCAGATGCAGAGCGAAACGTTCGGGCTCGCCTTATGCAAGACGCAGATGAAATCTTCTGGGGCGAATGTGACAGGGATGGCGGCGACTGGGTCCAAAGCGGCGTCGCGGGCCTGTGATTGGCTGGCGCGGCCGGCAAGCCCAGTGCGAAGCGGAGTCGTTAGGGGGACCTGAGCCAGCTGAACAACGCCTGCCAGCGCTCCAAGGCTCGTCCGTCATGACGGCAGATCTTGCGTGTCCGCGACCCAGAGCTGACTGCTCGGCAATCTGCCAGACGCAGGGCCGCAAGCCTCGCTCAACGCTGTACATCGACGGTACAAGTGGCAGACTGCGCGCCCCAAGCCGTCCACGCCCGGGATCGTCGATGATCGCTACGATGATGGACTGTGAGTGCGGAAAGCCTGAGACTGCTACTGCTGGTGCTGCTGCTTGCTGCTTCCACCGCCGCTGTCATGCCAGCATGGATGTTTGACACGTCTGCAAAAGGACAGCCTTCACTCCTGCAACAACCGTCCTCCCGCCGCTGCTTCTCGACTTAGCGCGCGTGCTCTCGAGGCATTGACCCAGCCGTGCAACCGCAGCTGTCGGCGCCAACAGGCTCTGCATTCCATCGCATGCCTTTGTGTGCTGTTCAGCACCTGGAGCCTTTTGGCTTGCCCGCGAGGGAATGTGCCGTGTCGCACAGGTGGGAGCGACATAACACGCCGTCAGCGAGAGGGGCTACGAAGGTGTGGACGCGATACAAGAGACAGCACTAGTGCATGCTTCGATCTTTGCAGCGAATCAATGGTTATTTGACTGACCATACAAATGTGCGAGACCGAGCTAGTCGAAAGAGCTTGCTGTTCAACGGCGGACGATTAGGGAGAGGAAGGGAGAGGAAGGGAGGGGAAGGGGGGGGGGGGGGGTTTGGTCGTAATTGATGGTGTGCCAACTAGATGTTAGCACGATGCTGAGTAAAAAGGACGTGAGCAGGACTCGCGTGCAAAGCATTCGACAAGGAACGGGGATCATTCACCAGACGAAGCACGATGAAAGGAAAAACCGGGCAGTGGAGAGCCAGAGAGATCCCGAGACGGTGGTACAGGTAGCGCCTCGATAACGCCTCGCACGGGAGAGATGGGGCTGACGCTCTCAGGGAGGGCGATGCGAGAAAGAAAAAAGAGCCAGTGTGCTACTGTAACTCACTACAGGGAGTCTCGCAAGGGGAGAGACAAGAATCGAGAGGATAACTCATTGCAGGCACCGCCGAGTAGCAGCAAGCAACAGGCGAACAAGAAGAACAGGCACGGCGGCGATGAGGAAAGGCTGCTCCACTCCGAATAGGACAGAAACTTTATTAGTCTGTCTTGAACACACGCCCACACGTCATCCACTGCGACGGCGTACATATTGTGCAACCCGTAACTTAACCTAAATTTCCGTCCTAGTACGACGCTCTGCAGTAACACCGTCAATTGCATCCTAAACAGAAGCGCCCCGTCGCGTCAAACCCGTCTTATCCCAAGTCTCCACCACGACCACTTCCGTCACAGCCATCCTCTTCTTCACATCTTCGCATTCACCATCCTCATTGCCGACTGCCTGTGCTCCATTGTGCATCACGTAAGCGCCACACATTGAAACCACTGTCCGTCTTGTCGCTTAGTGAAAGAAAAGCAAAGCGGAGAAAGATCAGAAAGATCAGAAAGATCAGAAAGGAACGGGCAGATAGGCATGGCTACCCTCTCCTCTCCTGTCGTCTCCTTCGCGCATGTCCACGTAGCCCTCGTCTTCGGTCGGCAGGCTGTGGGCGTTGCACGCGCTGCCGTGAGAGCACTGCCAAGGACATATCTCCGGTGCGGCGGCCTCGAAATTGAGGGCGCCGACGGAGAACGCCCGCGAGGCGAGGATCTTTGCCCGCTTCCGAGAGCTTTGCACGACAGAACATAAACCTTTGATCCGCTACTCCGTTCACCTTGCGCGGATAGCTGTGGTTCGCTTTGCCGATCGCTGGAATCGCAGATGGGCCACTTGCGACCGCTTAAGCCGAGGGTGCTAAGCGAACAGGAAAGACGCCAGCCAAGAGCAGCAGTAGTCGGCGCAAAAAATACCTCAAGCGTATTGACTCGCGCCTGTCCCATCAGTGTTTGCACGGGCGCATGACGTTCTGTAGAGCGGCCGTCACTACGACCCGGATCGGAGGCAGAAGCTGGACGCGATGCCAAAAACAAAGGCGAACCGAAAAAGAAAGAGAATTGCCCTCCAGCCCAACCAGCCTTACCGCTGCTCGGATGCGCGGTGACCTGATCCGATGCAGGCCCTCGACGCAGAAGAAAACAATACCCGGCTTTGTTCTCGTACCTGGAAAAAATTCTCTTGTCCTTCTCGTGTCAGCCCAGAGATGGGATCTGCCTACACGAGCTGGGTCAAGCGATTCGGGAGCGCGCACGAGACGGCTGCGCCTGGTTGGGGCTCTGGCAGCGCTGCGACCTTCACCACCTCTCTTCGCGCATCTCACCAGCCGCCTTGCCGACTCCCCCAAGCCCGCAAAGGACGAGTGCGTGTTCTCGCGTCAAACGTTTGTACTGTGTACGCAGGCCCGTCCCCCACTCCAGCAGGGTGTGCAGCGTACTACTGCAGCTTCCATGCTCCTACCCGCTGCTGGCCTGGTTCGTTCGATCTTTGCCCGCTCCCGTCACAATGGTCGTCACACGAGGATGAGCTTTCGGCTCTCTCGTCCACTGGGCTCGCTCGTCCCAGCAGAGGCGAGATCTGTGATGCTTGACCGCAGCAGACCAGATGGCCATGTGCGCTATCCGTTGCATCTTCCCCGTTTTTCTTTCCCAGGCCATGCGAGCTCTGGACGTGAACAGGCCTGATGCCGCGCTTTGATTACGGGCCTTCTGCCTCGTCTGCTTTGTCATTGAGGTCAAATACCATTCCGTATCATCATCACAGCGCACGAGAACAGACTCTTTTGGAGCGTGCGGGCTGGCGTCACGCGGAAAAACCGGTCCCCGATCGAAGTCCGTCACCCTAAAGACCATCCCCGCGTCTACGGGTTTCACCTGTATGTGACAAACACATCGCGCGCGAAAGCGCTCCCCCCGTCATCCGAGTGCAGTGTCTTGCAGTCCGCCATGGCTGGTGCAAAAAGCAGTAACAACCATGCATCCTAAGAAAACGCAATGGAGGAGACACAATCCATGCGCTTCAGCACGCATTCATCAAGCCACCCATGCCGAGCAAACCCATTAGTTCCAGAGGTGCGACACCCTTGCCATGAGAATCAAGGTGCAGCGTAATGATGGGGAACTTGGAAAAGCACGCGTGAGGGTGAAAAAAAAAAAA